CTGAGTTGGAACGGCTTTGCTCACACTGCCAATTATCCGTGGATGAACTCAACGAGAACGAACGGAAGTTGTTCCTAAATTACATGTCCGACGTATGCGCAAAGACTGAAGAGAAAAAAATACACGAAATTGCTAAAGACTATGACGCATGACGTGCCTGAATCGAAACTTCTAATGCACCCAGAACGGTATTTTCACAATCTCTCTAAAGTGAAGCTCAACAGACTACAATTTGAGGCTCTGTCATTGGGACCAAAATTCTGTGTATCACAACCACGTAGGACGCAATTGCATTTAGAGACACAGTTCGAGAGTTTAATGCATCAACTGACCGAATTAAAACCTATGTCCTCCCGAGCTAATGACTTTTTCAGAACCGCTTTGGTACATCTGTCACAGAGATGTTGGTGCAGCAGGGTATGAACCTCAAATTAATCACCAATACATACCGAGAAGCGATGAAAGAATTGACATCTAATCCAGAGATCATACTCTCATGGCCAGATAAGAGATCAGCTTGGGTAATAATGAACAAGTGATCGCTTGAAAGAAAGGTTTTCCGCAAGCCAACCCGGGTAGGTCAGCACACGCACTTCCACAGTTTCGCACAGATAAAGTACAAACGAAACTTGGTACGTTGCCTGCAATATCGGGCTACAAGGATTTGCAGCCCTGTGACACTGGAAGCGGAAAGGAATTTTATACTCAAGACATTGGATAGCCACGGGTACTCAGCTGCCTTCATCAAGAAGCATTCCTAGCTCCGAGCTGAGCCCGAGCCGAAAAGGACCGTGAGAAGTGAAGACATTTTCCTCTGAATGCCTTTCAAAGGAGACTTACAGTTCGAACTCTTGTGTGGGAAATTGACTTGCGCTAAACCAAACGTACCCGGCCACCAGAGTCCGCATTCACGCCGAAACCCTTCCGCTCATCACCAAGCGCCTAAAAACAGAATTCCGGCCCAGTCCGAATCCTATGTCATATACCAGTTCACTTGCACCTGTGGTGCTAGATACCTCAGACACATGACCAGACGTCTGCCAAAGCGGATAGCGGAATACTGTCCTACCTCAATACAGCGTGGTACCACCAGAAATGTCCACAGCTCCATCCCAGAACACCTAGTAGATAGTGGACATAACATACAAACGAAAGAGGCTTTCAAAATAGTGTACGTATCAGCAAAACGCTGTACAAAAGGACTCAGGAAGCGCCTACTGGCCACAGCAGAAGCAATTGCGATCAAGCAACTGAAGCTAGAACTGTGTAAACTGCGTGCAGAGTTTAACCCTGCCATGGCCCTAGCCTAGTCACCTGACTTCTGGCATAGTGATCAATGGTAGTGGGCACAAATACACATAGATTGCCACCGTTCATTCGATCGCAGCATTCACAACGTTGCGTCGCATCGCTAGCAATAGCTACTGCAGAAATGATTATGAAGCTCATAATTATAATTGCCTGAAGAGATGTATCGAAAAAAACTTGCTTCGCAATTTCCTTTTAAAATCAGTAGTATGTCTCTGATACTAAAGGACTCAATTTTTCTATAGGCGTTTGTGAGGTACCAACATGAATGCCCTGTGCATGTCAAGGATGAATATACCACTGGCGCCGGTGAGATCTTTGATGTAATCTCCATGGTGCAACTCACAGATTGTGTAAGGGCATTCATCAAAGAATACTTCCCGGATTTCTTAAGCTGGGCAGTATAGTGGATACAACTCATCGCTCCACTCTTAATTTTTTCTTCGGACAGCTTAGCACTTGTTAGTGAGACGAATATATCAGCAATCAGCGACTTTCTGTCTGGAACCATATTCACGATAAGGGATATTAAGTAATGTTTTCCACTTATCTGGAAAATATCTCGATTTTAACGACAAGCTCGAAAAGGCATCAGCAATACGCCGGTATGCCGTACCGACTCTTTGCTACCGCGCAACCCCTTGCACTCACACGAATACAAAGCTTACTGCTAGTGTCCCCGGTCCCTACGCAAGGGTGGAACCCGCGCCCCCCAGATTAAAGCCTGGACCTTACCTTGGTGCGATGTCTTACGTGCCTCAGAGATCCATTGAACTGTGCTTCGTGGGGCTTTTTGCACCTTCTGAGTCATTCATACCAGATTGATCAATTTCTAGAGGCCAGACACATTCATCCTACAAGTTGGCGGTCGGAACAAGTGTGGCTCCTTCATCCTTAAAACGGATTACTTGCAGCCCATTGCCAACCCGTCGCCTCGCGGTCAGGTTTTTGAACCAAATGCTTTGGCTGAGAACCCTAATCGTTCTCCTGTCTAGGCCTAGCCAACCTGACAGTATCCTGCCTACGAATAACAAACAAGCCATCCACAAACAATTTCCTCATGCTCTGGCGGTCGCAGAGGATAATTAATGGCGCCTTATCTGCAGCAGCGAACAGGGCAGATAAGGTTCAGATGCTACTGCTCAAGCCCTCCCATCTTCTGATCCCCTCTCTTGCGTTTTTTCACCCATATCACCCAGTACTAACTTTACTCTTATCTCCTCCATTTCCACCCCTAATTCCTAGCTATTCTTCACCATGCTTTGATAGGCGTTTTGTCCTGGTTTCAACTCACATGCAACCGCGTAGCGTCACTACTCACCTGTCAACAGGCCGGCGTCCGACAAACTCAGTCCATCGGCTTCTATTTGGAACTATCGATCCTCGCTCAAATTGGCATGCCTCAACCTACGCGCGTTGGTATAGATCGGTCAACATGCAGCACCTGCCCGAACATTAGTGATCCTCCCGATCGACATATGCTGCTTATCGGGAACCCGCCTACAAGACTCGAGTTCTGTGTTCACTCTGTGATCCACTTCAAGTACTTTCTCGTTGCGCCTATCCAGAGACGATGCAGCCTCGAGTGCCGGCCAAGTCGCTGTGAGTATTGCCCTGAGTCCCCGAGCCAAAGCTGCTCTGGTTGATTAGATCCCAATCAGTATCCGAGTGTGTGCGGTTTGACTGTTTGGTTCGTTCAAGCTTACAAGTCGTGCGGAACTAATAAGTGCCTGTTTGACTTCGCTGCCTATGCGCTCTCAAATTGCAGCGGTGACACGATGAAAAACGACAATTATCACCAACCAAATGAACGAGTTAGTTCGTCACAGGAGTAGTACGGATACTGTAGTGCTGGTTGGAGGTCTGAACGTTCAAGTTGGAAAATTGCCCATTGATGTACTGCACCTGTGCGGCCAACACAACGTAAGCTCCCGTAATGATAACGTTGAGCGATTCCTTCATTTGGGTGAAGAGACCTGCTTATTTCTTGCCAACACCAACTTCCGACGCAGCATACGCCATGGTGTCCACTAGCATTGGACGCAAATCGATCACATTGCGAGCAGTTAACGATGGCGAGGGTACGTGCAGAATTGTCGATCGATTTGGAGCACATGCGTGGACACTGACCACGCAATTGCATGTGCTAATCTGCGGGGACTATTTTTCTGGCGCCCACGATGACTCTCTGAGCGCATTGAGACCAGTCAACTGACGAAGCCAGCTGTTCTGGATGCCTATCGAAGTGTGCTGACTTGCGGGTTGAGCAAGCGCCCACTGAATATAGTTGAAGGCCAGTGGTCGCATGTTCACTAGACCTTATTGGCAGTAGGCACATTCTTATGTGGTAAATCTAATAGCCAACGTGGATATTGGGACTACGCAGTCTCTGGGACTTATTGATACCCGCCGGCACATTCTGGTTAAAAGCGAACACAACGAGACTCGCAAATATCTAATGATAAAACTGCGTGTTGGCCTAAAGAGCAACCGCGAAGCCAGCGTCGGAGATGGAAGTGGGCGTTGACTTTGGTAACCATCGAAGGTTATTCAGTCGGATACGGGAAACGTGTAGCGGAAGGCTTGGTTTTAGTGAAGCTATATGTGTGACGAGACTGGATAGCCTAATCACAAGTTATCAAAACGCTTAGAGCGTTTGTCTGAATGCCATGAACTCTTATTGAATCGGCCCTTATTTGTCGCATTTCACGCCAGCAGGTGCTCCGCCTGCTTCGTTGGCTATCCCTTTTTATCCGCTTTCTCGCTTAAAAGTCAAACTTGTGATCAAGCGTTTGAAGTTGAATAAAGCTGCGGTACGAGATTATCATATTCGGGTGCCCTGCTCTTGCGGATGATTTACACGGATTACTAGTGAAACTGTGGGAGCAGGTAACTGACCCGACAGACTGGAGTCCCTCTGTAGTAGTCCCAATTTTCAAGGGCAGCTTACGTGCTCAGCTGGCGTGCATCATTTGTATGTCTTTTATTTTCTTGATTATTGCGGCACAGTAGCTGAGGTGTTTTCCACCTCTAGCTAAGGTGTATAATGATTATTATTATTATTACAAGGTTATCTTTGGGTTGGCCAACGACAAGGTGAAGATATTCACCAGAAATAGCGTCATTTCCGGTGGATGGGAGGAAGCCATCGTAACGATGTTTGGACTTCATGGCATGTTGAAATGTTGACATTACTAGGGCGCTTGTTGTTGTAAGTTCAGAGTAGGAAGATATCAGTTCAGCTTTGACGCTCATGTGAGAAGAAATTAAGCGCTCTACAGGTAGCGAGTCAGTCATTATTGTGGAGACCATCTATACTTATCGGGACGGGATCAAAGAAGGCCCATGATTAGTTTTACGGCGTAGTACTTTTGTTAACTTTTCCTCTGCTTGCCATCCGGCTATTTTGACCCCTTTAGGTCTCGCCATTAGTGTGCATCCATCAAGATGCGAACCCATGACAACTAGCTGCTTGTGACGCCAACCAGCAGCTTATGCCATTGAAACCGTTTTTCACCATCCAGTTTATTTTCTGATACAATTGACTGGCAGCTGGATGCAATAAAACTCGACGTAACCGTTCATTCACCCGAGGCAATTTCTCGTGTTATCCCATTTGAAGTTCCTTTACTTTTGTCAATTTTTCCTCATTGCTTCGCTTAACTTATCGATCATTCTGATGTTTTGTATAGGCGATTTTACATGGATGGCGTGGTATTGAGCGAAACTGGCCTGAACGCTATTCGGCAAGCGATGCTAAAATCTCAACCGAAGCGGCCCACTGCTGCTAGTCAGCGACGGCTCCACGGACAAGCTGCCGCCGCTGAATCGGGTACGCTATTCGTTTTCATACTTGTGTGCCTACTCTGTTTCACTTAGATAACAGAACCCATATGTTTATGCATGTTCTCCATACTTCAATTTCTGCAGCAAATGTGGTGTCTCGTCGCTACAGTTGGGCTAGCGCGACCGAGCAGGTGTTATCGCAGTCCTCTCGTCATTTCGACTTTGAGTGCGCACGAGGCGGGCTTCTACAAGGCGATTATTCCCTCCTTGTATTCTGTCCTTACTTGGAGCGGTTGGATGTGAGGACGTTTATCTCATGCGACGGATCAAGGTTCATTTACCACCCGGTGCACGTTTAGCACTTGTTGTTCCCCCTAATTTCATGTCAGTTCTGTGGATACTGAAGGCGTGTGAGCCGGTCCCGAGTGAATCGTGATTATTATCCACACATCTCACGGCCTTATCCATTCGGACACACATCCTGCGCGTGTTCACGTCTGAACGCACATGCTCCATCCCTTCTGTGGTATAGTGTGGCATAGTCTCCTTGAACAGTCCGATCAACAACGACTTACGTTTCATTTGGTATTTACAGTCAGAACGTTGAGTGGGCTAGCTAAAAGCGATTTATGCTTTTCTGAACAGCTGCATTTTCTTAACCGTTGGCATTTCAGGTGCTCTGAGTCAAAATGACTGTTAGAGAGCGAATCGATTGCAATGGCAAGTTTCCGGACTCAAACAAATGTACCGTACAACAACCAACATCTTCATCCCAATTCCATTAGACACCAGTGGTAGGACAGTGATCGCTGCGATTGCAGCTATGATGTTGGAAGTCTAGTAAAAGGGGCCATTTGTGAACAACGGACTGCCACTGGTCCGGCAAACATCCGCGCAGATGCGAGTGGCTATCACTCTAACCTTCAGTTAACGAGTTAGCTATATCGTTCCACAATCAATAATTTTGATCAATGACCAGTGTTGGGGTTCCAGTCTGGAGAGTGGCAAGAAACGCTCTGGTACCTTAATTGAGTATTTCCTATAGTTAAACCACTTATCTCGACTAAGACATGTCCTCTGTGTGCCTGTTGACCGCCTTTCTCGGCGCGCGCTGTACGCCGTCGCTGCACCAATTTTGGCGGAGACAGTGATATGGCACAGATTTATGAAGCAACTGATTGAGAGACTTAATCAGGCTGGTGGATGGGAGCCTCGGAATGGTCTACGCCGTTGGTTCGAGTCTCTGTCAGTTTTGGCGCAGTCACGCAGTCAGTGACGTTCCTGCAATCGGTTTCTCGTACCTGGTTGTTGATTTTTATTCCATCCCGACTAGTTTCGCGCACTTATTGATCCAACTTTCTTTGCATTATACTTGCGTTCAACCCCTCATATTCACAAGATTATGTATTGTTATTCTGTTGACGTGGCCACCAGATTCACCACACTTCGGTGCCTGAATCACAGTTGCTCCGCTGAACTGCAATGAACTGATGCCCATGACCAGAGATCACTTGCGAATCGCATCGGTGCTGCGTATTTTACCCCATAAATGACATTTCATTTTACGGTTTCTAGCTTCGGGTCGCAGCCAAGCACCTGTTTCTGCCCTCAGAGGGTACAACTTCTCGATGGTAGAGGCAGTAACATTTCCCAGACAAACAGCGGCTAACTTTTGGCTTTGGCTATGGGTACTCAGTTATAGTTATTTCCCAAAAGCTAGTGACACGCAAAATTACGTGGATTTTGTCATATTAATAAATCGAGACAGCATCCACCACATTTTTACTTCACCTCACCTGTTGGAGCATCGCCAGCCATATTTATTGGCAATCCACTGTTGTGTTTCTTGACCTAAACGCGGCCTTCGAATCGGTTAATTGATGTGTCTATTCAGGAAAGGTGTGTCAGAAAAATAGGGAAACATTATCGGAGCGCTGTAAGTGCATATTTCGAGCAGGTTGATGGTTTATGGCAAAGTGTCGCCGCCTTTCAATATCTGCAACAATGGAAGACAAGGTTGCCCGCTGTTATCTTTCCTCTTTAATTTCGCCATTGGTAAAGTCATGGAAAGAGCGTTAGCTGGACACGATTTGCAGGGTGTGGGGCTGCTCCCAGGTGAACGACTTCTTCACATGGAGTAGGCTGATGACTTTGCCCTTATATGTGACAGCGCCCAAACGTGCCAAGTAACACTGGACTGATAAGAACTGGCTATAAATTGTTTTGGGCTGTGCTTTGCAGGGACTCACCCTGCACTGACACTTGTTGGGGATTAGTTAGAAGTCGTACAGGAATTCAAGTACCTTGTCAATTGTATTATCGGCCGTGGGATTGAAGATGAGGCCACTAACCGCATAGCAAAAGCTCGAGGTGCTTCCGCCCTTCTCCGCCACCTGTGGCGCCGACGCGATGTCACTCTCGCCCTGTATGCAGCCGTCCGTTCAACCCTCCCATACGCTTGTGAAACCTGGCCCATCAGGTCGACAGACATAAAGAGGCTAGCTGCGTTCGACCATTGCTGCCTCCGCAGCTTAGCTCATATATGGTGGGAACACCCCTTGACCAATGAATATGTTCAGCGTTGCGCTTTTGGTGTAGGAGGGGCGAGTGAACCACTTAGCACTATTATATCACGCACCAAGCTCCGACGGCTGGGTCACGGGTTGCGCATGCGACATCCGTTGTTTGCGCATCGGGGGTGCGGTCGGAAGAGGAGGAAAGGAGGCCAAGCGATGACTCGGCCGAGAGAAATGAAAACACACTTTAATGTCAACGTCGCTTGGCGCATCCCGACTGCCTGGCTAGGTTCCTAAGGACGATGAACACGTTTGGTTGGACACCCTTTCTGGTATGGCTAGGAGCGTGCCCCAGTAGCGTGTGCTAAGTGTTACTTTGTCCATCCGCCTCTCCATTAGATTCCACCTCCAGTTGAGATCTCAAAGCAGCTTAATAATATGGTATTTAACCTTATACGACGCTTTTTAAGTCTTTTCTGCAATTTTCATTACCTCCTTTTTGCACTGTGCCGATTAGCTGAGTTATATTTCTCACTCTCAGCTAACGTGCTTTGGTGATGCTGCTGTTGCTGATGATCTCACCTTCAATGTCAGAGTGTGAGGGCGCGTCCATAGGGACAACCCACGGAGCAGGACGATCACTTGCCGGCGAAAAATATGACATTGCATAGCACTCAGCTCAACGCTCTAAGCGTTTTGATAACTTGTGATTGGGCTATCCAGTCTCGTCACACATATAGCTTCACTAAAACCAAGCCTTCTGCTGCCCGTTTCCCGTATCCGACTGAATAACCTTCGATGGTTACCAAAGGCAACGCTCACTTCCATCTCCAACGCAGGCTTCGCGGTCGCTCTTTAAGCTAACACGCAATTTTATCATTAGATATTTGCGAGTCTCGTTGTGTTCGCTTTTAACCAGAATGTGCCGGCGGGCATCGACAAGTCTCAGAGACTGCATAGTCCCAATATCCACGTTGGCTATTAGATTTACCACATGAGAATGTGTCTACTGCCAATAAGATCTAGTGAACATGCGACCACTGGCCTTCAACTATATTCAGTGGGCGCTTGCTCAACCCGCAAGTCAGCACACTTCGATAGGCATCCAGAACAGCTGGCTTCGTCAGTTGACTGGTCTCAATGCGCTCAGAGAGTCATCGTGGGCGCCAGAAAAATAGTCCCCGCAGATCAGCACATGCAATTGCATGGTCAGTGTCCATGCGTGTGCTCCAAATCGATCGACAATTCTGGACGCACCCTCGACAGCGGTAACTGATCGCAATGTGATCGATTTGCGTCCAATGCTAGTGGACACCATGGCGTGTGCTGCGTCGGAAGTTGGTGTTGGCAAGAAATAAGCAGGTATCTTCACCCAAATGAAGGAATCGCTCACCGTTATGATTACGGGAGCTTACGTTGTGTTGGCCGCACAGGTGCAGTACATCAATGGGCAATTTTCCAACTTGAACGTTCAGACCTCCAACCAGCACTACAGTATCCGTACTACTCCTGTGAGGAAGGAGCTCGTTCATTTGGTTGGTGATAATTGTCGTTTTTCATCGTGTCACCGCTGCAATTTGAGAGCGCATAGGCAGCGAAGTCAAACAGGCACTTATTAGTTCCGCACGACTTGTAAGCTTGAACGAGCCAAACAGTCGAACCGCACACACTCGGATACTGATTGGGATCTAATCAACCAGAGCAGCTTTGGCTCGGGGACTCAGGGCAATACTCACAGCGACTTGGCCGGCACTCGAGGCTGCATCGTCTCTGGATAGGCGCAACGAGAAAGTACTTGAAGTGGATCACAGAGTGAACACAGAACTCGAGTCTTGTAGGCGGGTTCCCGATAAGCAGCATATGTCGATCGGGAGGATCACTAATGTTCGGGCAGGTGCTGCATGTTAACCGATCTATATCAACGCGCGTAGGTTGAGGCATGCCAATTTGAGTGAGGATCGATAGTTCCACTGGGTTTGTCGGCTGTCGGACGCGGGGCTGTTGACAGGTCGGGAGTGGTGCTACGCGGTTACATGTGAGTTGAAACTAGGACAAAACGCCTATCAAAGCATGGTGAAGAATATCTAAGAATTAGGGGTAGAAAATGGAGGAGATAAAAGTAAAGTTAGTACGGGATGATATGGGTGAAAAAACGTAAAAGAGCGGATCGGAAGATGGGAGGGCTTGAGCGGTAGCATCTGAACCTTATCTGCCCTGTTCGCTGCTGCAGATAAGGCGTCATTAATTATCCTCTGCGACCGCCAGAGTATGAAGAAATTGTTTGTGGATGGCTTGTTTGTTATTCGTAGGCAGGATACTCTCAGGTTGCCTAGGCCTAGACAGGAGAACGATTATGGTTCTCAGCCAAATCCTTTGGTTCAAAAACCTGACCGCGAGGCGACGGGTTGGCATTGGGCTGCAAGTAATCCGTTTTAAGGAAGAAGGAGCCACACTTATTCCGACCGCCACCTTGTAGGATGAATGTGTCTGGCCTCTAGAAATTGGCCAATCTGGTATGAATGATTCTGAAGGTGCAAAAAGCCCCACGAAGCACAGTTCAATGGATCTCTGAGGCACGGAAGACATCGCACCATGGTTAGGTCCACTGTCATTGCTGTTAGAATCTGATGCGTATGTGTTACCCGTTTACGCACGCCCTGTCGTTTTCAATCCTATCTATTTTGCACCAATATACGAGGTTCCAGGTGACCTTAACTTGCACTGCGGTAATGCTGCGGAGCCGTGTGGATTTGGTTGTACTACAGTTCGCCGAATTTTCAGGCATGCAATTCTTTTTGTAACTCCTGCTATGAATATCAACAGACGCATCTTATGAGGTGACATTACCGTTTGATGCACTCTCATCAATGACGTCATTGCCACCATTTTTATCGTTTGGTGGCCAGTGGTTGACCTATGTGTGGGCTTCATGTTATCAGGGAAGATCGGTGTTACTGTCAAATGTACTTGAAGGCAGAATAATGGCTTCTCTCGATTGATATCAATGGTCTCGAAAGGCCTGAGAGTCTGGGGCGTTGATTACGGATGATGTTTACTCATTAGAGTGTACCGGCGATCACTGGGGAAACCTTGCCTCTCGATTTGCTGGGTACAACCGTTCTATCTTCTGTCTGTCTGCCGTCTCACCTTGAAATGCGAATCGGACACCTAGAGTTCGTCCACTGCACCCAACCTGACTGTCTCCACAGTTATAGGGTAGTTTTTATAGATAGGGGAATGTGCGCAGCTTTCATTTCGGCATTTGCATCGAACGCATAGGCAATGGCATTGTCGAAACGTGCAGTCGTATCTCTACTGTATCGTAAGCTCTTTCCATTGGAGCGCCTTTTTCCTACAATGTTGTTTTTCTTCCACCAGTTCTGTGGATCTTGGCACTGTTTGCTTCGTACGGTTGTGAGCATGAAAGTGCAAACGAAACAGTCACTCGTTTGCACACTTAAAATGCTCGGGCCTTCGGTAAATTGTAATGCGGTTTCCAACTTATCCACACTCGGCTTCCTTCATCAATGTGCGGTCCGAAGCGCCTCGAAAGTATACGCTTTCCAACACCGACCTCACTGGCAGATTGTTTTCCATTATCTGTTAGCTTATGTAATGTGCTCACCTCCTACGTTTGGGTAGATAACAAATTTATGTTCAATTGTTGTGCTCTTAGCATGGTCAGTGACAAGTCTTAGCCCCCGTTCTTTTTATTGATCAAGTTGAAATGATTATCCGCTCGGTTTATTCCGCGATGGCTTTTAAGGAAAGGAGCCTTCAATCTACCTCCTGCCTCCCCTAAACTGATTGCCCACCTTGAGTTTCTCTGATCTACCGTCCCTGTCCCGTTTAGTTTGGGAGCTCTAAGGACCCTCCGAGAGCTATTAAATATATCCCAGTACCTCACAGACGCACGCAAACCGTGTCACCATCATGGTATTCATTGTTGTCCTTATGGTGATTGTTAATCCTTCTCGTCGTGACCCGTTTGCGTACTCAACAGCGCTGCCGCATTCGTTAACCTTCTCATTCTGTAATGTTATCTTTTTTTTGGTCAAGTTTTTGCCTATATGCTTATCTTTTCAGCTCACTATTCTCACCTTAAAACTAGGCCAGTAACGATAACCGGATCCACATATCCTCGTCTCTGAATTGTAATGAGCTGATTTTTTCATTCGATGGAGCAAATCGGTCTAATGGTCCCAACCGACGATCATTCACTACTAATGCTCGGTGTTCATGTTGGGAATTCGCAACCTACTTTTGCTTTCTCGGCCAACATACCTATTAATATATATATTTGCCATTGGTTTGTTTACACGCCTTTTTGTTTACACACTTCGGTTCTCTGTTATCGGTTTATTCCCTTCCTTTTTCCGTAATGTTATCTGTCGATTTTCTTCACATGTGCTCTTAGTCTCAACAGTGGTAACGTTAGAGTATTCCAATTCGCTATTGTTCCTCCAACTTGATATTCCGTCGCGTCCATTTTTCTTTCGCTCGCAGGACCTTCCAATGATACTCCGTTATCTGGCACCACACCGCTGGGTTCTCACGGTCAAGTGAGTGTAGTGCACGCCTACCCCTCCCATCCCACCTATTAGTTTATCCGGCAAGCCTTCGGGTATCCTGGTGGCTTTGTTCACTCCGAATTTCTGATTATTTAGTTAATATTATATTAAGCCTTTGTGTGGACTGCGAAATCATTGTTGCTCAACTCGTTGTTTATCATTGGTGTCTACCCAGTCGTGTGTGCAGGTTATTTGGTGGCGCCTTATCCATTTTAATGGTAGCTCCTTCCCTGGGCTCTCTGATGTTTTAGTGGGATAGATCTTTTCTTTATCATCTACATTCGATGGAATGCTGAATACTGAAAATAGTGAGCTAGTAGACATGCGTTAGTGTCACTCCATCATAATTACTTCGAGCACGTGCGCAGTCACGTCACTGATTCCTGAGCGTCTGCTGCACATTGCAGCTGTGTCATATACTACTCGGGTGCGATACACCCTTTGCATCTGAAATCCACGAAGTAGGTATCTGGGAATTGCTCGAATTCCGACACCGATTTTGCCTCGCCAATTTTCGTAAACATACTGTTCCAATATTTCGCCACTCGGCGCTCGAAGCAGAGAGGTTAAGTTATTCGACTTAGGTCCGGTCCACTAGCTTGTATCCATGCCCGCGAGTGCTGCTTTGTGCGCGCACGTGAATCAGCGGCCTCAACATGGGAAAGTGATCCAGTTGCAATATCCGATACGTTATAATGAAGTCAATTCCAAACCGAGGATACGACAAGGTGTACAGCCCTAGTCTCCTGCACCGGTCTTCCTACGATATACCCCGCAAACTGGGGATGAGTCTGGTGGCTACATGCTGAACCAGTTCCTATCTCTGCACCTCGCCATGGGTGATCGGACAATAAGTGGGTGATCCGTACTCGAGCATCGGTCTTATGATTGAATAGAAGAGGCGAGCGGCAATCTCTTTAGACTAAATGCAGAAGTTGCGTTGGAGCACCGAAAGCATACGCAATCCGTTTCCATAAAGCTTGTTCCTGTTGTCCACGCATTTTAAACCACAACATGAGAGTACACCGAGATCCTTCACGGAAGATGTGGAAATGCAGCGGTTGACCGGCCAGTGTGTAAGTACGCCCATTAGCACCCTTCACCAAGCTCATATATAACGATTTGCCTGGGTCGTTGATCGATGTCTGCAAACCATCTGGACAGGTCGTCGAGGTCATGCTGAAGTACATTACAGTTATCGAATGGATCAATTATTCTCCAAATCTTCAGGTTGTTTGCGAACATAGCACAATGCGACCGAAGAACTTGAGGCACTTCGTTGATCTTGTCCAGGAATGAAATGGCCCCAGTGTTGTACCTTGGGTTACATCACTAGTAGGGAGACACCACTCTCTTAGATGATCATCCACCTGTACCCTCTATTTCCGTCATTGGACGGAAGTCACTGATCCACTTGAGCAGTGAGTCACCAACCTTGCATATCCTCAACTTGTCGTGGAGGACCTCATGGTTCACTTTGTCGAACGCTTTACTGAAATCAATGTAGATCACATCCACCGACTTCCCTGGTTCAACGCTTGCAACCATTCATGCCGCATCAACAATGGGTTGGTGATTCAGAAGCGACCCTTCATGAAGTCTTGCTATGCAGTGGTCAGGTTCTTTGATTCCAGCAACTGCAATAGACCCCTTTTCACGATCTTCTCGAGTACTTTGACCAAAACGGACGTCAGACAAATCGGCCAGTAATTGTCCACCTTGCTTGGGTCACCGCACTTCGGAATCGGCTTCACTATTAAGCATTTCCAATCTCTCGGTAATGCACCATCGGAGAGCGATCTGTTGGACAGATCAGTCACGCAGAGTGAGATGATGGTCGAAATTGACCTGAGAATCCTCGAGTACAGCCTATCTGGGCCAGCAGGCGTCGTGCTGTCAAGACTGAAAGTAGATTGCGCACATCTTCCACAACGCAACCGAGGCTCTCGGGTTCCATAGGGGCTGCACACGTGGAGTCTGGTATAGATGCATGCCTACTTGGAAATACAGAGGTCCAGTTCATCACCAATGTGGACGCACGTTCAGCGCTGGAAATCAGAGGCTGTCCGTCAGAGCCATCTAACACTACTATGTCTCCTGTCGGACATAGGCATCGTTTCACGTACTGGAAATTACGCTTGGGAGCTGCTCTTTTTGAGGTTGAACGCTGCTCTTCGAATTATTGGTGCTTCTGCACTTTCCGCTGTTGCATAGATTCCGTTGCCTTCTGTTCAGCTCGTAATCGGAGGAATTTGGAGGAATTTATTACACTATACACGTCACCGTCGAGCCGACTGGCCACTCTTTGTCGAACCAGTGTGGTTTCACTGGTCCAGCTTTCCCATAGTTGAGGGATACAAATCGAGATCACAGTGATCTAACACCCTCTTTTATAACAGACAAACAGGCTTCAATAGATGAATCCTGCGGCAATGCTTAGTCCACTTGACTAGCGGCTCGATTGAGACCATCGAAGTCAGTCTTCCAGTAGTTGTAGGATGACCCCAATGAATGCGAATATGACAGCGAAAGCTCAAGGCTGGTCATGATCATCGAGTGCTCACTTGCTATCACAGGTTCTAGAACCGAAATATCACGCGCATCTAGTCAACATCAGGTGCAGTCACGAAAAATATGAGTGCGGTGTAATGCGCATTGGCTGTCAGATGTGTTGTGCTGCTCCAGTTTCGAATTCCATCCCAGCAAACTGCGTCGACTTCATAATGCCCGGGGAGAAGTTGAACGTCAGGCCTGCTAATTCGAGGTAGGTTAAAATCGCCCATGAGCACGAAGCGCAGGCGACTCATGTGGTTTCACACGCGGCTACCAATCCAAACAGCGACTTTACGGATTGCGATAGGCTACACCCACAAACAGTACGCTACGCCTCAGATGGATTGAGCATAATAGTTGCTCGCATGGACCATCCTCACTTCGATAGGTGCTTATCAGTCTCCCGCACAACGAGGACCGGATGTACAACAGCACGCCACCGCGGTCGTTTGATGGTCTGTCCCACCGCAAGCACAAATCGCCCTCGATCTAGACTTCCTGGAAGGTTAATTCAGGATTAAACCTGGTATCATTCAGTCCTAGTGCATCCGACCGACAAGATGCAACGATGTGGCACAGATCGTCACGTTTGTTCAGTAAACTGCGAACATTACTTAAGGCTACGCGCAGCCCACTGTTGGAACCACTGGCCGCGCATGGAGCGTCATCGATGATCCGGGTTCAGTGGACCCGGAGATGGATGTAACTAAGCCGATGCTTTTGTGCTAGCATATGTAGTTTCCACAGATGAGGCATTTTCGATGCTTAAATTAGGGTAAGGTGAGCTCTTATGATGGTCACCATTTCGGTCAATTGTTCCCAAGGTTTCAGATTATTGTAATATACTATTTTCTTTTCTTGATTTTTTAACTTGCGTGTACTTGGCAATACCTCACTTGTCTTTTTGTCCCTCATAAAAGCAGAAGGCCATATTTTCGTTCTTTTGTTTTGAATCTGGTCGTGGTACACCTTGGTTTGCATTTTACGTCTATTTAACTGTATGCATTTCCCCCCACTAATTGCGCTGTTTGTCTATGATCTTATCTCGGCCGCACCTTAATTGCGTGGTTCATAAGGGCTATCTGTGAATGCAACCTATTGTCTGAGAAATTCCACCATTGGTTTTATCGTTAACAGGCACTTTTACGTACGTATCAGCTTTTTCATTCAGATCCTAAAGGGCCGTTGAGCTGTCAATAACTACTTTATCATCACACATTCAAAATGTACACTCCCGTTTTGTCACACTTTATTTGATCGCAATTTTATCCCAATCTGTACCCATCACACCTTATCGATTCACCGGAGGTCATTAGTATGGTGCACGACCGTTCACTAAAGTAACAGTCTCACCTATCTTCCTTTTTACTTTACCTATTTATATTTTTGCTTGCTACTGTTGCTCACATCAGATGTTGTATTGCCGATGCTGTACATCCGTTCGTTTTTTAGGGTCTGTTTCTACTTGACGGACGTCGTCGACCCCCGATCTGTGCAATGATTCGTTCTAATCGCATGGCACATCTTCAGCAGTTATACACACTATTATCTGTCCGTTCCTTTTCTCCGCTTTGTTCAGGTCGATGAGGAAGGTTCCTTACAGTCAGGTATGGACCCGGAAGTGGAATCAGTGAATTACCCCGATTGGAAATCGCCCAGTTTGCATTCAGAGGACGATGCCAACTCCGTACTTACCACAACCGGTGTGGTTTCCACCACATCCAGTGACTCTCAAGTTAGCTATTTCCTTTTTTTACAGTTGGCACCTTTGTTTTACTTTCTTTTTGTGCTCCTTGTTACTTGGCTTTGTTCATTTGGTTCGCTTTTGTTAGACATTAGTAATTTCACTTATGAAACCTACTGGCTTCCTTGCGTTTCGTTCACCTGTTCCAGTAGGTTCACGACAGCGTTCTCAACTCGTCTTCTTTCACATCGACTTTCACTTGCTTTTACATTCAACCATCGTTAAGCGGTTCTTAGATGTCTTAGAGTTGGGATTAAGGGTGTCATTAACCTGTCAGAGGGGAACAAAGTCGCTTATCACTAGGTCTTCTTGACCATTCAGAATGGAGATTCGTGACATCCTTCACTTTTCTCCAGCGACCACAGTGCTGTGTATGCTATCCCCTCCAAACTGGCCTACTTGTTTGTAGTGTATCAGCTAGGGTTACTTTTGGTTAGTTACGGTGGTAAGTGCAGCCGACATGTATACCCAATGCCGCGCCATCTACGGAGCAAGCTAGCTGTTTGTGGCCATTGGTTGTTTGCACGACAGAGGTACATCGATCCAGTGTTTGCTTAGTACAGTTCGGTTTCTTACTTCTCATCCCCTTTCACTTGTGTGGTTCTTCATTATTTGGCTATTCTCGATATTTTGTTGTAATGTACCATTACCGATCATTGATGCGCTGTTACTGACCGTGCTTTACCTTAGTGCTACTGCTTCCGCAACAAATGACGAATGCCAATTCGCTTACCCGTTTCCTTCTATCACCGAATATATTGCTGTCGTCAGTTTAACAGCATACCCACATTTGTGTCGATTCTCGGGTACTCGTGACCACCCATTTTTATTTCGGCGTGTTATACAGCTTCCTTACAAAACACCACCCTTTTTACACTGGCTAGCTAATTTTCAAATGGTCCAGTTCTCGCGCACTCTCGCTTTTTGCTTTTTCTTATCGCTTCATTACAATTGTCTTTTGTTTCTGGCAACCCATCCACACCCTGCCATGTTTGTATAAAAACGCATCTGAATGCAGCATCCCTATTCCTCTTGCTATGTTGATCTCAGCAATTTTTTGACAATACCTCTTCTGTTTTATAAAAGGTAGTTGCACTCGTTAACTGATCTCAAACTCGCTTATTCTAAATGCATCTGCGGCTTTGTCGCGCAGTCTAGTTATCGCCGATTCGCTGCTTTCATTCAACGCCGCAATTATGCACTCATTTATTCCCACTGCACTTTTTCCGTTTCTCCATGGTGATCATATCGGTCGGTTTTTAGCGTCACCTTTCTGGATCAACGAAGACCAGCGGTAGTACTCCAACACTTACAGCGAACACAAATGCGAAATTGCCGGTCTCGTCGAGTGGTGCAAGGAATCGCCGATCGTTGAATCTAGGAATCGGAGGGTTTCGCGCCAAGCCAGCTCGTATCGCTCAAGTAGGTATATGGGATCACAACCCTTTATCCCCTTGTTTCATCACCACATGAGCTGTTCATCTTACTCAATGGCGTCACTGTTTTTTTAGACTAAAAAGATGCAACTTGCTGCTGCGTCCGATCCATTGCGCCAGACATCGTCCTACAGCAATCCCGTGATGTATTCATTAGAATCCACTGCTGGAAATAAACGGAGGAAACAGCAGAAAAAAAAGTCAGAATTGGAAGATAGCTACCCAGACTACCTTATGGAGGCTTTCTACGGGTCTTACTTTTTGACTGCTAAAATCAAATCAGTTAAAAAGCGGAAGGTCCGTGCTTCTCAAAGACATGCACGCGTTGAAGAGGATATGACGGGGAAAAAGTCGCACACTGGGCGCTCGGTGGTTTCAAAGCCTTTCGATGCTTTTCAATCTTCGATGAACACGAAGGTAAGATTAATCGAAAGCGCTGAGTTCGTTATTTCACCTTTCCCTCGCTTTCGTCAGTTGACTCAAGCTTGTTAACTTTTTCTCATCCTCGACTTTTTTCTTTTTAGCGTCTAATTCACTCGCTGCGTACTATCTTAGGGGTGTCGCATTGTACTAACAGTTTTTTTCGTTTCGGTTCAGTCAAATTACCCGTGTTCTCAATTCACCGGTCCTGGATTGTTTCGGGAATTTGTTACCCTTGTTGCAATCACACACACACACACACACACACACACACACACAATACGAGTCATTTCCCAGTGGCCTTTTCGTTCGAGTTGTGCATCGCGTTCCTTCCTTTTTGTCTCCTAGGCACATGCGAATTTAAACATTATGCTTCGCAATCCACTCACACGAGTGATTTCAAGTCACTCCTGCATTCAGCCATTAACCATTGTGACAAGTGTCATCCGCCACGATTCGGTGGCTTAAGGGTAGAGGTTTCAGTTGACACCCGCCAAATGCCGAGTGGGCTATCTGAAGGGACCAGATAATTTTGAGATCGGTCATTGAGTACGGTTCTCTTGTGTTTACTTGCAGTCTCCGTTTATACGTTCTAAGCGTGGATATGAGATGCATTTTCGGCTTTTCTTGCTAGCAGTATCTGGATATTTGAATTCCCTTGGGCTTGTACAGAATATTACCGTCCCTTCTACAGCCGCTGACTTTGTATATCACCAGTAACTGTAGTTGAGCTAAGTAAACCGGCTTTATTATCTTAGCCACCATTTATGTCGCCATTCCCTCACTCATAGTGATCAGTTATTCTTATAACTGTGCTGCTAGGTCTACACCAAGACATGGAGGCCTGGTTCGGTGATCTTATTACCTCACGTGCGTGACCAATATGTAATCTTTGACTAAACTCCTTGAACTTCTAGTTGTGTTACATCTTATAGTCACATTAATCTGCTATACTTGCAGCCCACTCCGCAGTGCCACCCGCTTGCTTGGTCAACCCATCTCTCTGATTTCTTAATCTTTTTTATTCCTGATATGTTTGGTCATTGCGTACTTATGTATTTAACATTCACTCTGCTTCCAATGTTTGTTTGATTTGCGGGAGAGGACCTCTCATTCTGTTTGGCTACGCATCTCTACTCTGCCAGATGGCGTATTTCCAAAATGGCCACCTTTGCCAGTTTCCTTGTGTGGACGACGAATGCTCCATGCGGTGGGAAACGTCTCATTGTATGTGCACCGGTTTTCTATGATCTATCTTTGAGTCTTGCGCCTGATGCGGTTTTCAACCTCGAGTGGCCTACTTACTAACTTCTGACTGATTCGCTGCCATAGCTACTGGTGACGCGCTAGGGCTAAGTATTTTCTGTCCAACCAGATTACATACCCTGATTATTCCAATTGGCTTACGGAAGACAGCAGTGCATTATGCAACCGACATTGTGAAAGCTGTGTATGGCACTTGAGAAGCTAGTTGTCATACTTTTTGATAACCACAAGTTTCCATGCTCCTTCCTATGCTTATTTTTTGCCTGCGAGTCAAACATACTCTTTCACTTGCATTTATTGAACGTTGTGACCTCACCACTCTGTTTGTTTATTCAAACTCACATCCCAGAGAAGGAGCGGATTGATCGCCCACTAAATACTCGACTGCAGAACTCTTCCATCTTCGGATTCGACGGTGCTGCTACCATCATGTAACCCAGTCTGTCTTGTGCAGATCACCGCGCAACTGGCCGCATCTGGGTTACTGCTAACTGTTAGTCCTTCGACATTCTAGTCTACACTAACTTGTTCTCTTCATCCGTCACACCATCGGTGCACTTAAGCTACTGGGGTAGCGGTCACAACCAACATCACAATCGTCCCGGGTTCGATGCCTGCTGTTTATCTGATATGATCAGATGAAATCGAAATGCGTCAAGGAGTGCAGTGTTTTCGCTCGGGCAACACCCAGTTTCCATCTGGTTCATTTTCATTTACCTTATTGTTCCAGATTACATTTTTCACAGTCACATAAATATAATACGCCGGGTTGCTTCCTAAATTTTCCCTAAATCGCCTAACTCGATACTAATAACAGTGGTTAAGATTTGCTTGTTTAAATTCTTGACAAACTGAAGGCCACACTTTTTACTCTGTGCAGGGGACTTCTTAAGGTTGATGCTTTTCTTCTGCATGTATCTACGATTGCTTCAAATAATGCTCTTTCGCATTCGTCGTACTCGCCTCATGCTCTCGTTCTTTTTTCTTAGGCCAATCTGAATGCACCTCATTCCCAGCCATCTGTCGGATCTTCATCTGAAGGCTCGTCTTTTTTTGCGGTTGGCGACCATATTTCTGTTTGGCCTCATCCCGATAACCACTCTGAAGGTGAAATGGAGTCGAAAACTAACATTGAAGTTAACGTCGGCGACGAGGACAGTGTGGACGGAGTGGATGACGACTTAGAAGTAGACGACGACTTTGACGGAGATTTGGGCTGTTTAGAAGATGCAGAAGAGGACTTCGACGTTGATCCATTTGATGACGACGCCGATGGAGACATCGACGTTCATACCTCTTCTGAAATTCGTCTCAATGGATCTGTTCTAGGGAATCAACCGATTGCTGACATATCATGTGATCGCTTACAGGGGACTACTTCGCTACTTGACATTTCATCGGGACAAAACTACAGCTGCGACGGTTCTCTCGCCAAAGGTTCCCTCGCACATGATATGAGCCGTTTGACTCAAACAACTTCATCAAAACTGGGCTCAGTTGCTAGTGGACTCTCTTTCGATCAACAGCTATGCGTTGATTCCAATGTTGCTGACTCCGGTTTGGCGCGTCCACCTATTCCCGGATCGGTTGAAGACGAAGTAAGTTTCGTTATCACGTCTTCTGCAGGCGGATCACAGCAACCGACGTGTCAGTTTTCATCTGGCCAGGAGCAACTTATTCGGAATCCTCAGCACACAGGTAACTTCCCTTTCGATCCTAGAGAATCATTTTTATCAGACTATTTGACCATTATTCTTTACTCGGTTCCCTAACCATGCCTGATGCTCTCACTTTAATATTTTCTTACAATGTCTGGTTAGTTCAGAGTTTAGAATTGATGATCCATTTTTCATTCCAAACATCACTGTTACCGTTTACTCGTTATTCTTGCAGGTTTGGATGACGTATCAGACTTTATGTTTATGCAAGATTACTTCATGAATATTGATGATTTGGCCGATACTGAAGAAACGGATACGAACGCGGCTTTGCTGCAACAGTCTGTAGCAGTTAATCCCTCACAACGTCCACCAAGCACCTACTTCGATTCAGGACAGCAGAGGGTGCATTGCAGACAACCACTTATCGCCACTGTCACATCAACTCTTCAGTCCCCTTTGGTAGAGGCTTCGTCACCTAAATCGTCTAGACCTCTTTCTCAAGTTTCTCGTAATATATTTTGTGCACAACCTCCGCTCTCCTCGAATCCTGACGACTCGCTTTCCCGCACTTCTCATCCTCACGATTTGCATGTCGCTGCTACTCCCAGACGCTTTTTCGCCCAGGAACAACTGTCTGCTGCTTATTCACACGCACGTGTGGTGCGTGCTGTTCCTGTTGAACTACCTGCTTCTTTGCTGCACTCTCCCATGAACCCCATCGTAATCCCTGACACAGCAGCGGGTCGGGAACTTCTCTCCTCTGCAAAGTTTTCACTGGATCTTAAATCGACGAGGGGCGGAAGAAATTTGGATCATCAGGTGCTTTCTTAGTTCGCTTGCTGCATTAGTTCCAGTCGCATTGTTGCCTCTTTTTTGACGGTTACTCTCGTTTCGGCCTGGTTTGTTTTCTGTTAGACCACTTTTCTTTATTTATTTGTTAATCATTATTTATTATTAATTGTTTATTTGTTCTCCGAGCTTGGCGGTTTTCTCGCAAACATTTCACCACCATGCGAGGTGGCATCCTCAGTGCAGTGATATGTAGCGTGTAAGTGCGCTGAGGATGCCACCTCGCATGGTGGTGAAACGTTTGCGAGAAAACCGCCAAACTCGGAGAACAAATAAACAATTGATTCATCAACCCGAGCTACCAGTATTTCGAAACATTTTAAACTATTTATTATTATTCACGCACCTGTCTGTTTCCGCCATCAGATTATTCACAATGAGCTTTTCATTTTCTTTTCTATTTAGATCTTAACGCCGGGCCATGAAACTGAGGTTGCAGCCTCCGGTCGTTTACCACCTCACCTCGTTGAATCCACTCGTGGACGTGATACAGCTGTGAGGACAGAAGTTGCTTCGGCTACTCATACATTAAACGCCAGTGCACTTCTTTCCGAATGTCCTCCTGTCAAAGCTGCAACTCTCAGTGATTCTCAGGAAAGAGTATCTTTAAACGCGACGTCTGGACACTTACCCGAACTGTCTGTTATAGACATCGAGACCCAGTTGGGTCCAACTGTGGGCTTTGAATCTAGTGATGTCTTCAAGGGGTTGTGTTCGGCTGAGCCGGCTGCCAATTTGCTTTCTAGTGGTACTTCTAGAGAGAATTTGCTAGTTTCAGGATTTCCATCGGATACCAGTTTGCCACCGGTTCGTGTCCAGCAACAGCCACATCGGCCAGAACCACAGTCACCTCAACACTACTCAGGTGGTCAACCGCCCACTCACTTACTCCAGGTTGGTTCAGATTCCTCTCTCAGGGCGGTGCACGGGCAACACCCTGTGGCACAGCAACTGTATCCAGAGCTTCAACAACACCAACAGGCCCAACGAGAACCGTGTCAAAACATGCATTCCAGTATGAGTGCTTCTTTTCAGCGGTTGTCACCGTTGACCGGTGCACCGCTGCATCAGAGTCTACCACAGGTTCAATTCGATTCTCAAGGTGAGTCCTGATTTTTGTGACTCACGGGTTCGTCCCATGTTTCCGTCTGTTTCCTTGGGACCATTAGTATCTTGCGTTTCTTTCAATTCAGGCACTCGTCTTCAAGTTCGTGGTTCTCAACCATCCTATTTGTATGCACACTTGGTTCCTGCTCAAGGGCGCGTTCTTCCTCAGCACCCGAAACCACAGCTACTACCCCAGCGCATTCTTTGCTCACCCAGTGCATCGACCACAGGACAGCCTCAGGTGCAAATGCTCGTCGGGTGTCCGCCTACTGCACATGTGTCCCACGCTGGTTCTCAGAAATCACCTCATGAGCGTGCCCCTCCCCCGCCTCCTCCGTATCCGACGCAACCTGTCCGACCATCTGGTATATGGCAAAACCAAGCGCCCCACCAGCATTTGCTTCCTCCAAGTGGCCAAGGAGCAGCGGTGCTCACAACACCTGGTCAGAGTACCGTCGCTCAGGACACCAGCTCAACTCAGCTGATCTTGTCTCCGCCCCCGACGCCAATTTTGCAGACACAGCAGCTCATTCACTCCGGTGGGACTCAGGTTGCTCAGATGGAACAATTCCAGGGGACTTTGCCTCAGGCAGAGGCACAGCACATTCCTGGTCACGTAATCGTTCGCAGTCAGCAATTCGTCCAAAATCAGCATAGTCACCCGTATTCAAATGACCATCAGGGCGCGCGCCCCTCTAGTTCAGATCCATTCACAGGAGTCGGTCATATGGTTTCTGCTCAAGTATCTACCACAATGGCCTCGCTATCAGCTCACTGTGGACCTTTGCACTTCCATTCGACCACTGGTGAAAAGTCCTTGCGAGGCTCTACTGAGACACACTTAACTACAATGTTGAGTCCTAGTGAGTCGATACCTTTTAATCCGTTGTGATGACTGGTACTTTCTAACTCGCTTTCGACCTTTATCAAATAGCTGATTTACATTTTCCCATGATGCTATTCGTCTGTTGACGCATTTACCTGAAAATTTCAGCGCCGACTGCAGATTTGCCTCTCGGACAGCGTTTGGGTCCATTGGGCGCATCACCGAGTGCCAGCACTCATGCCGGTATTACCGTTGCGCCTCCGTCTTCTAGCCGGCGTATCAATTATAACAAATGGGAAGAGGATGAACGCCTTGGCAACCAATCAACAATCGCTCCTGTGCTCCATGCAAACGTTTCTCATCCTAGGCTTCGTGGTCAGGTGCCAGAATTCACTGCCCGCGTGAAGGAGATTAGTAAGCTGTGGCGTCGATTGTCAAGTGAAGAAAGGGGCACGTGGGTGGTGAGTATTGGCTTTTATTATCAATGCTTTTTTCTACCAAAACACTGGCTGTTTTGACTAAACGCACCAATGCCACTAATTATCCGTCAGCTTGCATTCGTATCATTTTCGTTCCTACTACCGGGTTACGATAAGCCCAATTAGCAGGTTGCATTCTGTAAGCTAAGCGAATAACACAAAAATAATGCAGGCGGAACAAATATTTTGACGGTTAATATCGGCCCGTCGTAATCACTTGCAGCACAGATTGGTTGAGACATTTCTAAGTCATTGCTAAACCTCCGGTAGTTCTGAGGTTTCATCAAAGTGCAGAACTGTTCCAGCGTTTCTGCCATTCTCTTAGACGGTTTCTGTTTGGACAGTCCAATAGCTGTTCGATATCTTTTGTGCATAACACTGGCCTGTGGTCTTTGACTACCTCATTCCTCAAGCTAGAGAAAAGTGAATCCTTACTCTGTCCCATAACCAATTAAGTACAGTGGGGTGATGTTACGGAGGCAATGCACTTCAAGTTGAGGCAAAATAACATTGTTACATGTGCATCTCCCTTCCGGGATCCTCACCCCTCAGTCGGACGGCGGACGAAAACGTAGGCCAAGGACTTTGTGATTACGTAGTCTGGTTGATATCGTTGTGGTCAATACGGACGTAGCGATTGTTCTCAGCTGTTAATCCTGTAAACGGACCACTATTTCTTTCCTAACAGAGGAGGCTGTGACTCACTAAGGACCTCAACAGCATCTTTAAGTGGTAAAGATCCGAGGAAATTTAGACTTGCACGGAGGAAACTGTTGAGGACTATGGTCGCGTTTTGAATCGCAGTTTCAAATGAAGCTCCTTACGTAACGGACCCTCCTTCAACCTACACCTAGTGCAGAGAGGGCTTAGCAGTCTAATTACAGACGGCTATTCACGCAACATTGTGCTCTCCGACTGGGTCTATGATTGATGCATCAGCGTCTACGTGCCATGTATTTAATAACCAGTTTATAGACTGAGCATAGATAGTGCAGTGTCCACGTGCGAGTGGTAGCATTTGGTTTCGGAGACAGACACACATCTGCACGTATGGTGCCCAGTGTGCGTGTAACTACATTCTGGCGATCTACCTACCTTCGGGTGAGACCAGTGCGTGCTCACCGAGAGCCAAATCAAGTCAGTATAAGCTCTATGTACCCAAAGGCGTACATTTTCAGCATTTTACATTATCAACTGTAAATGTACCAAACAGGTACCATCAAATGCGCTGAGTTTGCAAATGGGTAGAAAAGTGAGAAGTGAATACTGTCAAAACTCGATCGAGCAACCATCCCCTAAATTTGAACGAACTGTTCGGGATTTGCATCCATGAAAAAGGGAAAGAGTTTCGTTAAAAACTTTCTTCATGTTTCGTTTTAGTTTGCGTAAAATTTTATTTGCATGAAATCTCAGTGTTTATATCCAAGAGTTGAATAGAGTAGATTGGTCTCAATAACCTTGGAAGTTGCTTGAACAAAATCTTTCTTATTATTTCAAAACTTCAACATTTACAGTAGATAATGTAAAAATGATGTCCGACTAAAAACGCAACGGCCGAGTTAATGGCCATGCAATTTCATTTTTGGAGAATTTGTTGCTGCACGAACCTATTGTGTACTTTGGTGACATGAATGCGAATGATCTGTCGTGATATGTGCCTCAGCTGGTACCATTCACGCTTGGCACTGGTAGGTGGGTTGTTAATAGCCATAGGGTTTAGCGCATTGGACAGATATGGAATTGGGGACCGTGTTTTCACCCGTTCACCCTACTGTGACCTGCCGCGGAGATGATCCTTTTGAGTAGACGCAGCTGCCGACGTTAAATGAGTCGGAGATTTGCTGATCTAGTCGTTCGTAGAATGTTCAGAACAAAAAGATTTCCCATGTCAATCCATTTACCGTGACCACATTGAGTCCCACAAAAAGCCAAGGTAAATTTGCACACATGGGCACGTGATCCGATGTATGGTATTTGCTCCAGATTGATTAGCGGCCTCACAAACGATAGCTGATCGCGATGGCAATTTTCAGGTGGCACATTTTCGCGAAGATTGCCGAAAGCTGGTACTCGAGCAAAAGAACTATGATCGGCACAAAGGTTAAGTGGACGATCACCGTTGTTTGTCAACTGGCGGGTTTATATCTCTTAACTTCAAGTCAACCGGTTTGACACTAGAGCTCATTTTTAAGCCTAGTCTGTGTTGCATTCTATGGTGGCATAAGCCGTCACAACTTGTATGCAGCGTATGCTGGGTGCTCTTTCTGAGGTTTCTAATGGGATATTAAAAGGATCCAGTCGTGCAGCGCATCTTCAGCACGTACGTCGAACGCAACCCTACATCGACACTTCCGTTAGTTTCGACATTCTAGCGCAATGAGGAAATAGCAGCGGACTTCACAGATTGTAAAATAAATCGTAGCCTTGTGCTAGAGTGCTGTGAGTTGTTCTCAACAGAATAGCGAATTTCGATGACTGGTTTTTAGAGTGTAAGTAAGGGCTACTTTTGGTCTGATATACATCTAGCTTAAATTGGCAATTAGGCGCTTAGAAGCAGTTGCCACTACTCGCAAGGCGGACTCTCGTTCAGCGTGGCACGGTGTTGTGGAATCGGAAACGGAAGGAGGTTACCAAGGAAGCAGGACTGAACCAACTTGGTCTATTATGGCTATATTATTGTTTAGCTATTCCGGCGATCAGCGCCTATGATGCGAGTTACCTTTTAAAGAGCAAAGACATTAAACAGATGGGCGTCAAAGCATTGGTCCTTAACGTATGTGGACATGGTGCTTTCCGATTGACCAGGCTGAGAAAGTAGTTTGGCTTATGGGCCTCACCCATGACCTTAAGCTGTGAAAACTTGGCCCATAAGGCAGCAGAGCGATTAGCATGTATGACGATCCGTTAGTTCCCAGCCAACAATGTCTGGTAACTGCTTTCGGTTGGTGTTAAATTATCCGGGACACCCACTGATGCCGAGGATAATAACACCGATACAAGGAAAACATTTCTCGACCACGAAGCTCGTCGCCAGACACGAATACCGTTAACGGTCAATTGGCTGTTACGCTCTCTTAATGTATGAACCAGTCCACATAGAAAGCAGTGGCTATCAAGCTGTTCATTCGCCCTGTAGTCATTGCCCATGCCGTCGGTCACTTGGTTTTGACACAGCGTCGTACATAATGTTTTGTTTACAACCAGGTACTCTCCACGCTGTGAAACGCTGCTTCTGATTATAGCCACTGTTCATTTATCTTGCTTGCTAACAGACGGAACTTATTCAAACTTGCCACCGCAACGAAAGTGTTTTCCAGCCCGCAACCTGTGTACACATCCTGTAGCGTGTCACCTCCCTGCGCCAGCCAGTGCTCGGTTCAGTTCCGGACCGATCTCTCAGGTCCACTGTTAACCGGAGATTACGGTACGAAATGGCCACATTTTGGAACTAACTGCAACCTCTTTCTGCTTTCCAGCGGCATACATCCCTGAAACATCTCAGCTAACAGTACGTTTTAGCTTATCCTTTTGATGTGGTGCAGTCGGTTTTAGTTATCGCTGACAGGGCTGTGCACAGGATTGCAAATCAATCTTGAGTGCTTATCTCACTTCGGATCACGCGTTCTTATGTGCCAAAGTCTCTTAACACTTTGGTGCATCCCAACGTTATCGCCGCAAACGGCTTAATGTGGCTAAGCTTTGTCCCAAACGCTCTCAGCGCGTTTCAGGATGCATTGGCCTCAAATCTCGAATTCTGACGTTGAAACGCACTCGGCACACATTCGCAGCACTGTGTACAAATCTTAATTGAACTGACTACTGGTTGGTTCGGCGGAGCTGGACGCCACCGGCCTCGTCCCCAGGTTGCGGATCAGGGAACGCCTTCCTTCCGAAGGTAACTGTGAATAAGTCTCGGCTGTTCGCAGGCGTTGAATAAGCAGTTGCGGACAAGCAGCGGCAGCGTCCTAGAGTGTGAAGGGTTCTGGGCTGGTCACCTGGTTCCGCACTAAATACCACAGGAGCTCGTAAGACGCTGTGTCAAAGCCAATGTGACCGGCTGTAGGGTCATTGGCCACTCACTTCTGCGGCCAGAACTGAGTACGCAACGGAGGGCGGATGAATTTCTTCGATGGCCACAGGCTTCTGCGAAGGCGTATGAGCCACCTGGCTGCCAACGGCCTTTATGCTGTTCTGCAATTTCGGTGGTCCAAGAACTTTTTTCTGGCCTCTGTGTTGCTTCATTCGGGCTCCTTGGGCGTCCTGAGTAGTTTGTTCCTACTCGAAAGTCGTGTTATCATCATCATGGTAGCTGGCTCCCAAGGGCATTCGTTCTACGTCAAACGCCCCACTGCCTTGCGGGTCAGGTCTTTAAGACCAAAGGATCCGGGTGGAGTCCCCCCAAGTCATCTCTCTTCTTTGGCCTGTGTACCCGAAAAGCTACGTGCCCACGTAACTTATGGACCAATATTACAACGACTCTCTGCTCTTTGCCAACGCTACCCTCGGCCGAGGTGCTGGCGGTCTAACACGCTATATTGCGCTCTACCACACCACATTCCACATTTGTTCAACTCCCCCATCCTTAGTAATCCACCTCCACTTCCGAGACAACAGTACCATGCCGCTTTCGGCGTATGTTCTGGCCATACGGATCAGGAATTTAGGTCTAAGGAGGCGCCGCCAAGTAGTACTGCCAAGCCTTTTCTAGTGCCCCGTTCCCAATTCAAGCTGGCGATCTTAAATATTCAGACGCTGATGCAGATCGGACCACAAACAGCTCTTGCTCGCATGCTTGAGACTACTGCCCTCGATGTCTTCTGCCTCACTGAAGCCCGATTACAGGACCCTAACGCGACACTACAGCTGGCTTCAAGGTATGCGAGTTCCGCTTGCATTTTCAGATTGCGTTTATCTGGAGACGCAACCGCCGAAGCCGTCGGTCTCGCCGATGTGGGGATTGCCTTGAGCACACGTGCTAAGAC